ATTAAAAAAAAAAAAAAAAAAAAAAAAAAAAAAAAAAAAAAAAGATGTTCTCGTTATAAACCAAATAATACTATATATTATTCTACAGTTTGCTTTGTCACTCAATATTTTTTGAGGGCAATACCTCATAATTTTTAACTGCTGCCCAATATTCCTAGTAACCACTCTCCTAATATTGGACATGGTTTCTAATTTGCATGTATTGCAAGCTGCAATAATCTTGCCTAAATAGGCCAATCTGTATACACATATAAATTTCTGTAAGAAAAATGTTTAAAAATATAAATACTGTAAACTACATTTAAAAGCTTACTTCAACTTACATTCTGCTAGGGATGAGTTTCCCAACAACACACCATCAATGAACATGGTTGATCTTTCTAATTTTATTAATCTAATGGAGAAAAATGATTCCTCACTGTCTTTATTTGCATTTCCCTGATTATTAGTGAGTTTGAGCATATTTTCATGTTTGTGAGCTATACATATTTCTTCTTTCAACCATTAACCATTCTTAAATTTAATACAACAGATATCTAACAAAGAAGCAAAGATATCTTTTGTTTCTTTTTTTTTTAAGTACATGTAATACCTAAACATTGTTTTTATTCAAAATAAAGCCAACAACTCCACTGACCATACCTTTGTCCCCATTACAATCTCTCCCCATCACTTATCAGGTGAGCATGCATTCTTAGATCTTACTCTATACCAGGAATCCCAACCAGGAGCAATGTTGTCCCCCTAGGACACACTTGGCAGTGTCTGAAGATAGTTCTAGTTGTCACAATGGGGAATTGGGGGGACACTACTGATATATAGTGGATAAGAGGCCAGGGATGCTGCTAAACATCCTATAATGCACAAGACAGTCACCCACAACAAAGAATTCTCTAATCCACAATATCAAGAGTGCCACTGCTGAGAACCCCTGCTCTATGCTTTTACATAATGTATGTAACTATAAAGATATAAAATATTTTAGGATGGGATTTTTTGAACATTAATAGTGTCATTATACCATATGTATCATCCTACAAGTTCTTAGCATTGTTCTCTGTTAGTATATAAAGATCTACCTCACTCTTTCTAACTACTAAAGAATTCCAGTTTATGGCTCTCCCTTACTCATGGACACTGGGTGTGGAGGAATCACCTGGCTAGATGACCATCCTATCAATTGCCCAGGTCCCTCTTCCTGCTCCCGGTGCTCTCACTCTTGGAGCTGTCCCCACCTTTTGCACCCTCCTCTCCTGAGCGTGTGCTTCACAATGATCATTCAGCATGGAAGGATCTCATTGCCCATCTATCTTTCACAAATTCCTCATGGTTTCCAGAATCCCAAGAATACCCCTTTCTGTTTTCCATCAAAATTCTGGTTTGTTTTTCTTTTGTTTTTTTGTTTTTCTTTTTAATTTTTTCTTTTCCCTGAGAATTTAGGACAGGAAGATGAAGTCTGGCTCATCCTACCAGCCTGAATTAGAAGTCAGAACTTTTTTAAATGTTCATTTCTTAACAAAGGAAATATAGCATGTGCTTTCATTTTAATTAAAAAATCAAAGATTATAAACAAGATTATAGCTTTCTAGAATAAACCAGTTACAACTTGTTTTTAAGTCTGTCCTGAAAAATATCAACAAATCCTTGAGCATCTAATTAGTATAAAAAACGGGTATGTGGGGCCGGCCCGGTGGCGCACTGGATAAGTGCGCCGCTTGGCAAGCGCGGCGGTGTTCCCGCCCGAGGGCTCGGATCCCACATACAGACGGGTTCCCGCTCACTGGCTGAGCGAGGCACGGGAGCGACGCCAAGGGTTGCGATCCCATTGCCGGTCCCCGGCCCGGTGCGGGGGCGACACTGAGGGTTGCAATCCGTTGCCGGACATGGAAAAAGACAAAAGACAAAAAAAAAAAAAAAAATGGGTATGTGAAAGTGATCATACCATTCCTAAATAATTATATCCACTAATGGAAGCTGGCTATAAGGTATTTTTCTCATAGTATCCACACTACCAGATATCAATGCATTCCTAGGAACTCCAAAAGCTGGCTTTCTAAGATCAAATTCCATTTCTTATATCATCCAATACTGTTCCTGGTTTCCCAAAAGACAAAAAAACTCTTGATTTCCAGCCTATGACTGGTTAGATTCTCACCAAAAAGCCTCAGATGAATATTACAAATAGCAAAATCAACCACCAAATGCTCCCTCTCTCTTGAAGATATTTGGTAGTTGGTGGTTAGCTCCCTGACATTAAAGGCAATCATCAAAAGCAGCTAAGGAGCTCAAGAAGTTTTCTTTAGCACAGACATTCTCAATGAGCAGGGAAGTGAAACCTGAAGACATCAAAACATCTGGAAGTGATTTTCCCTTCAAAAATAAATATTCTTCCTTCTATCTCCCAAAAAAGAAAATTCTTCTATGCCTGAGAACAGGATGAGCACTTTGAAGGAGCTCCAAGAACAATTTCGATTTCTCCCTATTACATGCCTAATAATTACCTCAGTAGTTTAAGACTCGAAGTGATTGTATCATTCATTGAATTCACCTGCAACTCTCTGACTAGTCCCAGCTACCAGAAATAGAAGTCTTTCTCTGGGGACTTAGTCTAGCGAGCTTATAAGAACACCCAAAGGAGTGCTAAGAAGTTAAAGTATTAAATATTATAGAAGAAAAGGAGATCTACAATGGTACATTGAAAAGTTCATGGAAAGATTTATATTATCTTTTAATTCTATTTTCCATAAACACGTTGAAATACATTCATATCTCGAATCAGTAATCTAAGCTCTCGCCTTAACAAACTAGAAAAAGAAAAGCAAAATGTACCTAAAGCAAATACAGTTGAGTCTTGAACAAGATAGGTTTGAACTGCAAAGGTCCACTTATACATGGATTTTTTTTTTCAATAAATGTATATACAGTACTATAAATGTACTTTCTCTTATGATTTAATAACATTTTATTTTCTCTAACTTATTTTATTGTAAGAATATAGTATATAATACATGTAACATACAAAATATGTGTTAATCAACTGTTTATGTTATCAGCAAGGCTTCTGGTCAACAGCAGGCTATTGGTAGTTAAGTTTTGGGGGAGTCAAAAGTTATATGTGGATTTCTGTTGGCACAGCGGGTCAGCACCCTTAATCCCCACATTGTTCAAGGGTTAACTGTAGAAAGAAGAAAATATAAAGAAGAGATATTAATAAAATGTAAAAGAGAAAGACAATAAAAAAGAAACCAATCAAACCAAAAGCTAGTTCTTCAAAAGCATCAATAAAGTTGATAAACCTCTACAAGAACAACAAAGGGAAAAAAAAAGAAAAGACACAAATTATTACTAGTATCAGAAATGAAAAGCAGGGTTATCACTACAGACAATGCAGACATTAAAAGGATAATAAAGGAATTCTAAAAATAACTTCATATACATAAATTGGACAATTTAGATAAAATGGACCAATTCCTCAAAAATGACAAACTAATAAAACACACCCAGGATGAAATACATAACCTGAATGTTCCTATAACTATTTTGAAAATTAAATTCAAGTTTAAACCCTTCTAAAGAAGAAATCTCCAGGCTCAGTTAGTTTCACTGGAGAATTCTACCAAACATTTAAAGAAAAAATAAAACAATTCTATACACCTTCATCCAGAAAAGAGACAACATTTCCCAACTCATTTTTATAAGGCCAGTGTTATCCCAATACCAAACACAGTGCACAAAGGCAAACCTGCAGACCAACATCCCTCATTACAGTAATGCAAAAGATCCTTCCTTAACAAAATATTAAGAAATCCCACCTGGCAATATATAAAAAAGAATAATACACCACAACCAAGCAGGATTTATCCCCAGAATGATTTATTTATTTTTTATTCATATTATTTTTTTACATTCTATGATGTTGTTGCTGAGCAGTTGGGAGGGAGGAGGAGAGGGGAAAGGGGAAGGAAATGGGATGAAGAAAGAGGAAGGAGGGGGACAGGATTGAGGCCTGTGGCAGCCCCCCATTCCCACAGGGGAGACCAGGGAGCTTACAGCGGTGGATTGGTCATTGCCGGACTAGGTGGAGATGTCAGAGGGGTGGCAAAAGCCCTCGGCCCCCCACCACCCCAGCTTGGGAACCTGGGGCCCTTCTTGCTGTGGCTCAGTGGTCATTGCTGGGCTGGTTGCGGGTGTAGGGTAGGCATGGCTGAGGCCCTTGCCCCCCAACACCCCAGGTTGGGAGAGCCCAGGGCACTTCCTGTGGCAGCTAGGTGGTTGTCATTGGACTGGTTGTGTGTGTCAGGGGGTTGTGGCAGAGGCCCTTGGCCTTTGACCACCCCAGCTCAGAAGAGGCCAGGGTGCTTCCTGCAGCAGCTCGGTAGTTGTCACTGGGCTGGCTGCACATGTGAGGGGGTTGTGGCTGAGGCCCCCAGCCCTCTCCCCTATCTAGCTTGGTAGCCCAGGTGACTTCCAGTCCTTCCAGGTGTTATTGGTGTTCTTTAGTGAAATGAGACCTTTACTAATTAATATCAAACTTTGTCTCTGGTTGTGGGTACTTTGTTTTTTCTTTCAATTCTGTGTTGGATTATTTGCTGTTCCCACCACTTAAACTCTGCGATGGGACCAATTTGTTGTCCTCTGCTTACTTCCAAAATGGGGGGAATTTCCTGTGGGGACCAGGACTTGAGCTCTGTGTTTGAGCTAAATTGCTGCTTTGCTGCTGATTCCCCAGGGAAGGCTGTTTGTGCAGCTCAGGTTGACTTTATAGGTATTTCTGGCTCTCATGAGATCTGGTGCACCTGGGTTGTATAGAAACTCTGGTCTGGGCCTGAGTCTTTTCATCAACCTGCATCCCATGCAATTCTACATTCCTGACCAGTCAGTCTCCTCTAAGTGGTCCTACACTGATTGGGGGGCAGATCATTTGTCTTTGCTGTGCCCCAGTGTTCCCCCACTGTGCCCATCTCCCCCACCGCCCATGCTCCAAACACTTCCCATGGGATGGGCCATGCTCCGATCCCTTGTGATCACTGGCCTGAGTGGTTCCTTTTTTTCAGTTGTTGTGGCTCCTCACTTCTGTGTGGGTCCATGGAAACTCTATTAGTGGTATTGCTGGCCTGGGGGCCACCAAGGCCCTCTTCTCCCCTGCCGTGTCCAAGCAACTCCATCAGAAGGGCACAGCAGCAGCTTTTGCTGGCTCCTGCTCTGTGGGTTCACCAACTCCAGCCTGGAGGCAGTCAGGATTTGGAACAGTCAGAGCGGTTTCTTCTTTCTCTCATTGTGGCTTCTCCTGCCTTCATGAACTCCGTACATCTCTCCTCCTCTTCCCCTGAGCTCTAGCAGCCCCAGCTTGGCTGTCATTGCTTTTTTACAGTTGTAAATTGGAAGAGAGATTTGTGGAAGAGAGTGATGCTGGGGACCATCTATTCTGCCATCTTGACCAGAAGTTGTCCAGAATGATTTTTTAATAGGGAACCAGGCCTGCAGTCACTCAATGTAAAATAACAATTACAGTCAAAAGAAAAAAAAGGCATGATCATATCAATTGATTCAGAAAAAGCATAAGACAAAATTCAACATCCATTTATGATAAAAACTCTTGGCAAATTAGGAACAGACAGGAACCTTCGCAACCTGGAAAAGGGCATCTACAAAAAACCTACAGATAATACCATACTTAATTCTGAATGACTGAATGTTTTTCCACTAAGATTGGCAATAAGACAAGAATGTGCACTATCACCACTTCTTTTCCACATCATACCGGAATTCCTAGCCAGTGCAATAAGGAAGGAAAAAGAAAGAAAAGCATACAGTTTGTAAATGAAGAAATAAAACTGTCCCTATTCACAGACATTATGATTGTACACATAGATAATTCCCAAGGAATCTACCAAAATACTCCCAGAACTAATGATCATAAGGTCAACCAACATGCAAACATTAATCATACTTCTACTACTAGCAATGTACAACTGGAAATCAAAATTTTAAAAACAATACAATTTTAGGAATCTCCAAAAAATTGAAATACCTAGGATAAAATCTAACAAAACATGTACAGGATCTGCATGCTGAAAACTACAAAATGTTGATGAAAGAAATTAAACATGACCCAAACAAATGAATATACATACAATGGTCATGGATTGGAAGACTCAGCCCAGTAAAGACTTTAATTCTCCCCAAATTCATCTAGATTCACTACAATTCCGATCTAAATCCCAGCTGGACTTTTTTGTACATATACACAAGATGATTCTAAAATTTATATGGAAGGCAAATGAACTAAAATAGCTGAATTTTGGAAAGAAATGAATTGAAAGAATCCAACTTTGACACTGACTATAAATAAAGCTATGGTAATCAAGCCAGTGTAGTAATGACAAAGGCACAGACAGACACAGAAATCAGTGGAAAATAACTAACAGCCCCAGAAAGAGACCCATACAAATATCACACCATTTGATTTTTTGACATAGGTGCAAAAGCAATACAATAAAGAAATACTATATTTAACAAATGGTGTTAAAACAATTCAACATCTATTAGCAAAAAAAAAAAAAAAAAATCAACCAAAACTTTAAGTCTTACATAGAAAATTAACTCAAAATGGACCACATGTCTAAATGTAAAAGGTGAAACTATGAAACCCTTAAGAAGAAAATCTTCATGACCAGGAATTAGGCAAAGAGTTCTTAGACATGACACTAAAGGAAAAAAGTGAAAAATTTATTTTATCAAAATTAAAAACTTTTGATCTGCTATAGACACCATCAAGAGAATAAAAAGACAAGCTACTGACTGCAAGAAACTATATGCAAATCACATATCCAACTTACAGCCATAATGTATAAAGAAATCTCCAAACTCAGCAGAAGGAAAACAGACACACACACATACATTAAAAAAAAAAAAAAAAAAAAACTTGAAAAGAGACTACACTGAAAAGGATATAAGGATGGCAAATAAGCACATGAAAAGACGTTTCACATCATTAGTCATTAGGGAAATACAAATTAATACCACAGTGAGTTACTACTACTTCTACTAGAATAGATAAAATTAAAAATACTAACAACATTAACTGCTGGAGAGGATACAGAACCACAATTCTTGTACATTATTGTAGAAATGCAGAATGGTACAGCAACTCTGGAAAAGTCTGGCAGTTTCTTATACCTTTAAACATATACTTACCATGTGACCAGCTCAGTCCTAGTTATTTACCCTAGAGAAACAGAAACTTATATTCACACAAATATCTGTACACAAATGTTCATAACAGCCTATTCATAACTGCCAAAAGCTGGAAAGAACCAAAATGTCTTTCAGTGGGTAAATGGATAAACCAACTGTACACTCATACAATGTAATAATATTCAGTAATAAAAAAGGAAAAACACTATTGGTAAACAGGACAGGTTGTATGAATCACAAAAGCATTCTGTTGAGTAAAAGTAGCCAGTCTCAAAAAGTTATACACCGTGTGGAAGTGACAAATGTACACTGATGGGAAACACATCAGTGAGAAACACATCAGTGGTTGCCAGGGGCAGGGTGGGGGTAGATGTGACTATAAAGGGATACACAGGGAGTTTGGGAGGGGGGGGTGGGTAGTGAAACTGTCTGTATCCTGGTTGTGCTAGTAGTTCACAAATCCATACGTGTGTTAAAATTCACAGAAATATACAAAAGGAAAAAGTCAATTTTACTATAGGATAATTTTTAAACTAAATTTAAAAGAGAAACACTACTAGACATAAGTGAACAGTACAAACAATACTGTGGGTCTTGTTTAAGAGTATATTGGCCCTATCTAATTTTCTCGAAATTACCAAGCTATATTCTGCCCTGGTACCTTCTCCTCCGGCCTTATTCTTCTCCTAACTCTTGTCACCCTTCAGGTCTCTGCTTAAGTGTTACTTATTCAAGAAAGCTTTGCCTGACCTCCCAGACTAGCTCAAGTCCTCCTATTCCACACTTATAAAACACAGGATAATTTTCCATTACATTACATATCATAAGTATATGTGATTATAAAGTATCTGTTTCTCCCACTGAACTAAAAGCTATGAGGGCAGGGACCACATCTGCCCCATTCAAAAGACATGGGACACACTCACATAATAGATCCTGAGTCGCTATTTGTTAAAGGTTGAACGAATATCTGTTACT